GTATGTCCAAAATCATCCTCGCACCATGCCTTTATGATTGTATCTTCATCACCAGCATCGTCACACCATCCATCAGCTATGACCACCACAAGCATCAGCAGCCCAGCATCATCTTCTTTTCCAATCAGTCTTGTTTAACTGTCAGCACAATCGTGGTACTGCCGTATGCACATCCCTTCAGCAACATTTCCACGATCGGTGCCAGTGGTGTTGGTCGCATTCTTCTTGGGACTGTCACTGTGTTGGAGCGGCACCTGATATCGTGAACCTTGCTTGCTCAGTGTGCCTTGTGCCCAGAGCCGCCAACTGTTAGGCAGTCAGCCATGCCTGCAGTGGCATCTCATCAACTTGCAGGCACGGAAGACTGCTTGACGAGACGCAGGGCAAGCAGAGTAGTAGCAGGGCAAAGCATAGAGACAGGTAATCTGTCCTCTACAGATGCTTATGTGTATGTGTACATGTGTATGTAACTGTCTACTTGTACCTATCTATCTGGGTGCGGGCGCATAGGGCGCCCCGCTGCGTTCGTACTTAGAATGTGCGCGAGACTGGGGTTTTAGCATGATTTCTACAACAACCAGATTTGTAGGACAGCACCGAAACTAATTGCATTTGCAAGGTTAGCAATATCATCAGCAGCAGCATCATCAGCATCATCGTCGTCTTTACTAGTAACATCAGCATCATTACAATCTTTATCACGCTCATCATTGTCTTTAGCAACATCATTTTCACAGTCGTTGGTAGTTTTGTCATCATTTTCATCCTATTCGTCATCATCATAATCATAATCATCATCGTTACTTCATCATCATGACGACCGTCATCATTGTCTCAGACAACATCCTTTTCACCGTTGCTAGAATTCTTATCATTACCTTTTTTCTATCATATTAGTCATCACCATAATGATCAGTATCATAATCATCAACGTTACAGGAAAGTGCCATGGCCGGCTCGCAACTGCCCACTCGAGAGGATATGCCACGACCGGACGCTATTAAGCCCCCCCACCCCCCCACCCCCTTAGTCCTGAACAGTCCTGAACAGCAGCAAAAACCCTTCACCTTAGTCCTGAACAGCAGCAAAACCCCTGATTTGTGCAGTAAAAACACCAGAAACGCATGAAGTCCCGGGGCGCCCGCTGCGCGGAATGCTGTTTGAGCTGGGCGGCTAGTTGTTCTTCCCATCAGGATGTTGCCAAATTACAACCTGCTGGGCATCCTCCTGCAGCTCACTTCGGCAGCTTGGGTGCAGCGGATCCGGACGCACAGACTTGAATTTTCAGTTTTCATGCAGCGGAATCGCATTAGAAAGAATCAGAAGTCCCTACGGTTTTCGCAGAGAAGGAGAGGGATACCGCATTTCTGGGTCCGCTGCCGTCTGAATTTACACGTGAATTCTGCCGACGCTTTCAGGAAGATGACAGTTTTTATCTCGGACCGATCGCACCGGGCACAAGAATCGGCTGCCTGACACCACGAAACACATTGACATGGCTGTCCATATGAACCGAAAGCCCAGCACCGCCACAGCTTGGTTGTGTGGCGTGTGTGACTTGAGTGTCCCTCGCTCTATGAGGCTGATGGAAGTGACAAGCGCACGGTGAAAGTCCCAAGCAACTGGCAGATGTCTCGGCATCCGCGTCATGACTCATAGGTTTGAGTGCTCGGTGTGTCGGTTTAGAAACTCCGGCTGTGGCCCAATCCCTTCACTTGCAAGCTGCTTCGCGATTTGGGAATTATGCCAGATCCGGTGACTTCAGGTAGGAGGGGTGACGCGCTGTAAAGACTGTGCGAGCCTTCAGGTGAGAAATCGTCGGTTTACCGCATCTGCGCCACATGGCCTAGGATGTAGTTCGGGTCGTCTACCAGAAGCCCCTTCCTCAGGAGTGCAAACACTTGCCACTGAAGGAGAAGCTGCGGAGCCGCAAAGCTGAAAGCGTTGTGCCCTGGCTCAGGGAGCTAGGGATGTCAGAATCTTCTTGTGCGCGGCATTCTCTCAGGATCTCATGAGAGTGCAGGATCGCATGCTTGCAGGTACTCATCCCGAGAACTGATTAAGACGTGGCACGGCTGGAAGAGTCGCAATGGCGTAAAGAAATAGAGCTCTGACAATGCGAGAACCAACGAGGGAAGACTTCCCACGACATTAGTCGCCAAACGCGAAGAGTCGGGGTGAGCAAGGCAGCAGTGTGTCCTTCACAGCAAGGGCTCGGGAAACACGCACTCACATAGAAAAGATGCAACTGCAGTGGCATTGCATCGTTATTTGTTGCTACTGTCGCGGCAACTGTTCCTGCGGCATGCATGTCACTTACTCTAAATCTTGTCCCACTTTCGTGTCTAAAGATACCGCCAGAAGCCTGCAATACGTGCATTCGGCTCGCGAACGTCTTGTTCCCAAAGTTGTTTTGGAAAGTCGTTTAAAGCAGTACGCTGGAGGCTTTTCGGGAGATTTGCTCTACTGGGATCCTTATAAACTCACTCCTCTGTTCATGTTACAGATATGCCGCAGAGGACGCGATCCGATTCGGCCGCGAAACGAGCCTCCAAACCAACGACCCGAAAGGAAGTCAAGCTAAGGTTGGGAACCTTCGACCATCCATACTCCTCGAACTGCCAATGCCTCAGCAACTTGCCGTTCACCCTTGTGCCGCAGGGTTTGAAGGCCCCTATAAGGGCTGTGTGTCATTTGCTTTTGCGGCGCTTCGGGCAGGGCTTCTGGGGTTGTCAGTTATGCCGCTATGCCATAGCCAGTGCTCTTCTGTCACTTCCTGTCCATGCCAGAGCGCCCAAGAGGAAAGAGCGTTCTTGGTTCCGACAATGTGGCAGCTCCTGAGCCCCTCGAATCTTGCTTTACCCAGGTGTCGATGTCGTCGACTTCTTGCTCCACATGTGCTTGCTGCACAGCCCCCTGGGGCATGAAGCTGAGACTCTTTCGTCGTGCGCTGTTTTGTCGCTGGCAGATTGGTGGGGCCATAAATCAGTGTGCATACTTCTGTTTGTACATATCAGCATTGTCTCCCAGCTGACGCGTATGACTTATTACGCTTTAGAGAGTTTTATTTAGACGGGAGACCAAATGCGCAGAGGCCGCCTGTAACCATGAGAGGTGGCCCTCGCTGAACACTCTCCTGGAGGTCAGGAAGGTGCTGGAAGCCCAGGCTCAGAGCAAAGAGGGTCTAAGTTGTCTCAGGCCCCGCTTTATTTCGAGGGGCTTGCGGGGTGGGTTTGGGTTTGGGGGCTGATTCGGGCTCGGGCTTTGGGTCTGCCGCTGACGCCCGCCCCTGCGTCGCAGAAGCCGCAGAATGCGTCCTGGCCGGACTTCTACGCGTGCGCCCCAGGTCCTCAGGGAGGGTCGGAGAGGCGATGGAATTCAAAGTTTAGGGCTGACATGCAATCTACACGAGCACAATGACAATAACTGTCGCTTTTCTGATGTGGGAGCTGAAATCAGCAGTCGGAATCGGAAGTTATCGACGTATCACTCTCAGCTGTTTTTCTTCGCATCAGCTGCATTGCTGTTTCCATTCCGTGCCAATTTTGAATGGCTGTCCTGTCGCTATCGATGGTCTGCATACGTCCGACAAACTCTTAGTGACTGACATGACAGATCGAACCTCGAATAGCTGCCCCGGGTCGTCTACTGGTCAAGGAATGAGAACAGCACACACCTAGTGCACTGCGACATTCCTTTGCGCTCAACCCGAAGATTAAGAGACTCCGTTTCGGCCGCCTAGGTGCCTACCTCTGTCATCGAGACGCTGCCGCTTTTCGAAGATCCTACCGGTGCCGAGGTCCTGAAGCATTCAGAAACCCCAGCAATATGTCCCGAATCTTAAACTGTATCGTGCATCTCGGGAAGCTTTAAAAGTGGATAAGGCAGAGACCTGGATTTAGGTTTCGGGCTCCAGGCCACTGGACTAAGCCTAGAGTTGTGAGGTTGGTCTGGGGCTACTGTAGGGGATGTTAGGGCTTTTGGTCCAGGCCGCGTCAACACAGGGGTTATGAAAGATGCTTGCAGCAGGTTCCCGATTCCTCGTGTGTTCGGTGTACCCCGGAGCCTCACCGATGTTTTTGGCGTTGTGTTCCATCGATACTCTGGACAACGCATGGGAACTCCTTTGGAGTGCCTTAAAACGCCCTTATATAATCGCTGAACTCCCCTTCCCTCGTGCAGGATTCCTTTGCCCGGAAGTTCAAGCCGATCACTTCCGAAGCTCCTGGAAGGTCCCTAGCCCAAACTGTTCGGAAGGCTACGAGTAGCACTGGCTACTCCTCGTTGGGATGAATCCGTGACGACCAAAGGTGACTTTTTCCGGGTCTTGGTTTACACAACTGTGAAATCATCATGGTCACCATCACCAGCACCATCATGATCATCATCGCCGTGGTCGTGGTCGCGAGTTTCGCCCTGGTGACGACTAGTTAGTTGTGTTTTGGCGAGTATCATCGTGTGGATGTTAGGGTCGAGGCAGCTGGCTTCTGAAGCCTGTCTCGCAACACAGGCGCATGCTGAGCTGAGCAGGGTTCAGGGAGAAGGGTTCCTCTAAACTTTGGGATGTTTTCGTGACATCTTTCCAGGCAGAGTACCTGTTTCCCCACCCCAATAGAGTGTCCTCCTGCCCGACAGAGTCAAAGCCCAAGAGCTTGCAGAGGTGACAGTTCTGCAATGGAGCCTAGACCAGGTTTCTGAGAAGCCCCGAAGAATCCAGCCATTCTCAACAGCTTCTTGTCCCAAGCTGATGCTCGCCCGAAAGCTCCCCGGCATTTGTGCCCCCAGGTTCGATCGGTCCAAGGCGCAGCTGAGATTCGTTTGGAGCCCAGTGTAGGTGCACACTCGGCAGACGACAAACGTTCTTGTAGCAATCTCGGCGGTGGAATCCGCAGTCGACAATCATCTGTGTTTCACGAGTTCTGATCCTTCGTAGCCGTTGCAGACCAAACCGATACCACACAAGTGGCCTACGGATTTTGCGCCGCAGATAGCTGTTGCCAATGCTTGCAGCAGCAGTCCTTCTACAAGTGGTGGTGTCCTCGAATGGCCAATGGTCCGAGTCGAAGAAACTTGGAAGCTTTGATACTTGGAAGGGAGCTGCCATGTCAGCAGACGGCACCAACATGGTGGCCATGACTTCCACGTATTTGTACACGAGTGCTGATGGTGGGACAACGTGGGAGGAAAGCAACAGCTACAGCTCAGACTGGCGCCACGTCGCTATGTCATCTTCTGGCAACAAAGCGGCCGCCGTCTCTGAGTTCTACTTGGCTGTTGCTAGCCTTCCCAAACCCACGTACCAAACTCAGGTGCCCTGGGAGCTTGGTTCAAGTTCAGACGGGAGTCTCGGAAGAAATTGGGCGGGAGTTGCCGTGTCTGCGGACGGCACCAAGCTTGCGGCCGCGTCAAACTGGGGCGGGCTTTGGTTGAGTTCTGATGGTGGACAGACGTGGAGTGTCGCTGCAGGTGCAGGACCATCCGACCGCGAGTTGTGGCAGGAAGTCGCCATGTCATCGGACGGCAGCATACTTGCAGGCAACATCATGTGGAAAGGCGTGTGGATGAGTTCGGATGGTGGCACAACCTGGAGCCAAGTGCTTGCCGTAGAACAAGAGTTTAAAAGTCTTGCCATGTCAGCAGATGGCACGAAAATGGCAGCCCTCAGCCTCGCTTACCGGCACCCCATCTGGCTGAGTTCCGATGGTGGTTCGAGTTGGAACGAAGCCAAAGTTGATTTCGAGGCCAATAGCATTGCCATGTCAGCGGAAGGCATCCGCATGGCAGCTGCAGTGAGCAATGGATTCCAAGGTGCACTCTGGATGAGCGAAGATGCAGGTTCGACTTGGGCGGAAATCTCATCACCAGGGCTTCCTGCAAGAGAGCCATGGGTACACGTTGCCATGTCTCCGGATGGCAGCAAGATTCTCGCACACATTGATTCCGGCGACGTATGGCTGATCTCCCGGTCATGCGTTTCGAGCGCCGTGGCACCGGCAATGCTTGTGATGATTTTGCTGCGGCATTTCTGCTGATGTAGCACCGCAGCAGCAAGTGCGGCCGTGCTGACATTCGATTTGAGCTAGCTGGTTCATGTGGAGCCTGCTTTCGGTCCCGATGAATGTATTGGAAATGTGTTGCATGATGATGTACAGTTCGCTACTGCCGCCCCGGGCGAGAGTTTTGGCATTTTGGCATGCTACTTCAAGGCCAGATGTCTTTCTTGGGAAGGACATGCAATGCCCTGATTCGCCTATGTTGTGAGCAGAAACCCTGTCAGCAAAGCAATTCGTCCAACATGCTTATGGAGATCTAGTCATGTTTTCACATGCATTTTGTCACAAACACCTCCACCGGCGGAATGTGCACAGCGCATACACCTTTGCATTGCCGGCGTCTGTGTGCATGTAGGTTTTTAACAGAGTGTGTGCCGGGATAGGGATCGGGAACTCCACGGCGTTCGAATCAGGCAAGCTAATGGGGAACTCCACAGGTCGCGCGGGGGAAAGGCAATCTTCCACCACGGTCGAATCAGGCAAACTAAGTGGGGGAACTCCACGGCGTTCGAGTCAGGCAAGCAAAGGGGGAACTCCACAGGTGAACTCCACAGGTCCTGTGTCTGATTTCGCGCTGCTAAGGGGGAACTCCAAAGGACGCGCATCCCCACGGCATTCGAATCGGGAACTTCACGGCGTTCGTTCGAATCAGGCAAGCTAAGGGGGAACTCCACAGGTCGCGCGGGGGAAACGCAATCTTCCACCGCGGCCGAATCAGGCAAACTAAGGGGGAACTCCACGGCGTTCGAGTCAGGCAAGCTAAGGGGGAACTCCACAGGTTCGCAAGCGTTCGCAAGTGTCCGCGTGTGTCTGATTTCGCGCTGCTAAGGGGAACTCCAAAGGACGCGCGTCCCCACAGCGTTCGAATCTGGCAAGCTAGGGGGGAATTCCACAGGTCGCGTGGGGGAAAAGCGAGTATCGGGTGCGCAGCTGCATTCGGGTTCGTGGCGGCTCCTATCAGGTTTCAATCCCGCACTGTGAGCCCACGGGTCGTCCTGGTAGTTGCAGAAGCCGAAACACCAGTACCAGCTTGCCAGCCAGCAGTGCTCGCCCCTGGTTATGTTGAATGAGTCTTCTGTTCTGCCCAAATTTTCGATCCACATGCTTTTCCCAAGCTGCTGTCAGGTGGGTCAGGTTCTCCAGCGCTTCCGTGCCCTATCATGGGAACGGGAGGTGCCTGGTGAGCTTCTGCCAGTCGATGCAAGGTGTGCTTGCTTTTCATCAGGGTCATCGCTGCTCCGAGCACTCGAAGATTCGCACATGGAAAATTGACCAGGAATTTCCACCTCAAAGTGGCTTGACGAAACTTCCTTCTTAAGACTCATACAGTCTCTTACGAACTTTTTAGGAGGCATCGACCCTACATCTACTCATTTGACACAGGCCAAGGGCAGAAGAACAACTGAACTGAGAAAACATGTTTTTGTTTGAGCCCGTGAGCTTTTGAATATTCGGAAGCCGTCCGAAACGGCTAGGGATAGAATTTTCAGCTCTGGGGCATGTAATCCAGAGCGTTCCGCAGCCTGAATCCCTGAACCACACGCCCCAGAGCCTCAACCCTCAACCCTGAAGTAAGACAACAACCGACATCTCCAGATTCCAAGCCATACAGGCCTGGGCGCTGGAAGCGTCCTGGTACGACTACCGGGTCACTCTGCTGAAGAGAAGGAATGCCTTCGGTACTGTGGGGTGTTTCCCGGTGTACGCTTTTTAATGTGATTGAGGATGCCGTCATGTGTGTTGACACATCATGATTGAATTGAAAGGTTGAGTTATGTCTACTTCTGGAGCTAGAGCCGAGGTTGCTTTTTCGGGTGTTTGCAGTGCTCTTCTTCGTCGGTCCTCTTCCGAGCCTGAGAGTAGTGGTAGCTTAGAGTCAGAGCTTTGTGGTGTTTTGATCGCTACATCAGCTGCAGCTACTTGAACGGTGCTTGCTGTGCAGGGTCAGGTTCCGGCTTGTTTTACTCGCTTGTAGTTTCGGTTTCGGGGTTCATGTGCGGAGGGCTCTGGGCTCTTCAACGAACAAGATCGAAGCGAGAGTGTTGATGCATTGTTGGTAGCAAGTGCACTGACGAAACAACTACTAGTTTTCCAATGCGGCTGGTAGCCATAGCAGCCATTGCAGGCAATAGCTTCAAACCCCAAGCATTGTCATCCTCCGACATGAAGTTCAAAAAGCAACGGCGACGAGCCCTGAGCAGCTGAGGTGCGCAAAGTTGAGGAAACGGAAAGGCTAGTTGAGATGCCCTGAGCTCAGAAGATTTGGGTGAGAGAGCACGAGAGAAGCAGGATCTTTGTAAGGGCTTGAGATTGTGAACCATCATGGTTGCTCACCTCACTCCGGAAAAAGGATGGGATGAAGACGTCGGACAAGCTTGTTTTCAGTGAGATGCTAGCTGCCTATAGCTCCTTGATTGCTAGCATTGCCTCCTTGCACAGGATAAAAGCGGTTCCAATCTTCCCGGCTTATGTAAGACTGGCACCTAGGGTCAAAGGCCCTTGCCTACACACTGAACCCCTAAAGTCTCAAGCCCATTACAGACTCTGACGCCGTCAACCCTATGAAGCGTTAACCGCAAGTCCTAAAAGCGCATATATACCTCAGCCCTCAACGCTATCCTTGCTATCCTTGCATCGGCCCTCTCAAATTGCCTCCTGCTTTCCCAGGCTGGATGACGTGCGAACGACGCCATCGGACACACCGCGGCAGCAAGGTGCAACCGAGAAACGGAGCAGACGGGAACCCATACGCAAGCTTGTTGGCCTTTACGTTTAGGGTTTTGATTGTAGGGAGTTTAGGATTTTAGAGTTTCGGCTTTTGGGGGGAGCCGAACCCGCCCCGAAACCAACCCCTTACAGATTCAGATGCCACTGAGTGTTTAGATCCTTTAAACTGTGGCCACATGGGGTTTCTTATAGTGAGGGATTGCAGCACAGCTCCTACAGTCTCGAATTCCCACATTGTCACAAAGCCCCTGATGGAACTTTGAACACCCCGGACACTTGCACTCTTGCCTTCTTTTATGCCGTCCACTGATGACTTATTTCAGAGACCCTTCAGTAGAGTCAGTATAGTCAGCCCTTGAAAGTTGGAACGATTCATGCTGGGATTCCCTATACTTTACTTTAAGGGCATGAGGCTAATGATGTTCCAACTTTATGGCTTCTACTGTAGAGAGATCTGGATTCCCGGACCCGCCTGTGCTCGCAGTCGATGCGATGCCCGCACTGCTTGGGCATGAGGATGCTACTTGATGGCAACTTGAGAAGAGCTCAGGATTGGGACTGTGTGTACGTCATGTGTGCGTGTCCACGTGTGCGCGCACACCGCGGGTGTATGTATCTGTCTTTGTGTGTTTGTGTTCTTGCATAGATACCCACCAGAAACATCACAGCCTAAAGCCTAAATCGAAGAAGCCGTGTTCTATGTTGACAAAACTCGAGCTGCAATTGCCGACAGCTTCAGCGACGCGTTCAATTAACGACTGTACTGCGTGGTGATGCCGCTCAATTCAAGCAGCCTACCTTTGAAAGCCTGCCTCCGAGACATCCGCGGCGGATCCGGACGATGCGGTTTCCACAGGCGCGCGGACATCTGGGACTGACTTCTGGTTTTTGAAGACTGCCGTGCAGCTGGAAACCAATGCCTCGAAGACGATACGATGAGCACATGTCGTCCTCAATCTGACTACTTCCTAGCAGGTCTCTTTCGAACTGGCTTGAGGGACGGGCGCTTTATGCCAAACCACCTTGTTACACATAACCCCGTTTGTTTGAAGTAAGGCGTGTGTTCGGTTTTTTGTGGGAGAATGGAGGGTTCCAGGCTCTTGTGTAAGATTGGTGAGTGTATCGCTGGGCTTCAACATCTGGGGAACTAGGTCCGGATTTTGTCCCTGTAGTTGTACTAAGATATACTGCAAGTCCTCATTTTGCTTATTTAGGCCTGTGTTAGTTCTCTACAGTCTTGTGTTTCCAACTCTTTCTTGACCCAGGCGGACAGAGCACCTGGTCCTCCGGGAGACCAGAGAAGCCACGCCCGGAAGTGCCTCGTCTGCAAGTTTTCTTTCGGGACATTCGGGACGCAGTCGGTCGCTCCTTTCCTAGCGGTCCAAGCGCTTTGCAGATTCGCTCTGCAGGAGCCTGTGAACGCCCCGGAGCCGCCGAGCGACTACGTCTCGGTCAGGCCCGTGGCTGGTCTCGCCGCTTGAAGATCTGCCAGCGATGTTTTGTGGGTGGTTTTGCATTCTGTGAGGCGTTCAGCTTCGCATTTCTCTATTGCCAGGCAGCTCATGGCTTACTTCTGCCAGGGCCCGACCACCGAAGAGGGAATCGTCCGAGACCTGGCAGTGCGAGGGAAGTTGATAGCCCTGGGGTCGGTCCCAGTGGAGGTCATGACAATCAAGGTCTTTGTCATCTTGGTAACTGCAAACCCTCCCTATATTTCTGTGTCATGTGACATACAAGTGGGCCTACCTGGTGGGGACACCGCAATTAAAATGTTGAGTCTTCGGCAGTCTGCTTGGTTGCATCCCTTGCATCCAAAAGCATGCAACCACGAAGAACCAACAGAAGCCATACAAAAGTTATGGCGGCACGTAGCGTCCCGAGGCAACGTGATTTGCTGTCGATCTGGTCTGGAATGTCTTGCATTCTGACAGGCACGAGCTTTCGCGGTGCTGGCACCAAGCGGCGCAGGCCACGATTGCCGTGGAAGCTCTACATGCGAGCCCCAAAGAGTGAAGGTCTTTCTGCATCTGAAACCCTCGGTCAGAGAATTGTAAAAACTAGCAGCATTGCCTGCGACAGCTGCGACCGCCATCCCGGTGGAAGCCGCGCACGCGGCGATCCTCTCGCGCAGAGCTCAGTGCACTGTCTTCCCGGTGTGTGAACGACCGACATCCAACTGCAGGTTACAGTTTGCAGCACTGCCTTTCTGAATGTTCAGGCCCACCCACCCCCCCCCTCTCAACCCCACGGTC